AGGCGGAGGGAAAGTTGTTCCTTCCCCGCCCCCTCGGCCGCCTGTGGCCCAGGGCGCATTTCTCAGATCGGATCCCGCGCGCGCCGCAGAGGGCGCAGGTCCCACAGGGGGGGCCGCTTTCCAGAGTGCCAGCGAGGCCCCGCTCCAACCCGGGTGTCCTTTGGGGGGGCTTCCGGTGGGGTTTCAGTCTCCGCAGCCTGCGGGGATCGGGGTACTCGGGCCGGCAGAGAGCCCCGGTTCTGAGATTTGGAGTTTCCCAGGGTTGGAGAGCTGGCGAGTAGCCTTAAAGAGGACGAGGAGGGAAAGAACCCAGGGCGCCTCAAGCCTTCGCCTGGCAGGAACGGGGAGGTGGCCCCCTACAGAGTGAACGTGGAATGCTGACTGCGCTCAGGGTCCCAAGTTTAAATCCCAGAGCCCTGGCCGCGTTTGGAACAGGAGGACGCGAAGGCCACAGCGCAGATGCCGCCCAGGCAGCGTTCGCGTTTCCAAGCGCCAACCTCTGGGACTGGCCCGGAGCGGCCCTGCGGGTGGCGCCCGCTGGATGATAGGTGGCCCTCTAGTCCTGCGTTCCCCTCACAAGTTAGAGGCTCACACGCAGTGCTTGTTCTTAGTGAGTGTGGGCTATTTATTAAGGAACTAGGGTAAACGCAGAGTAGCCCCTTTGAGAAGGCAGGGTCCTCCTCGAGGGTGCCCAGGAAGGGGCTCTGTCTGTGAGGAGGCGGAGTCTGTGCACCTGTTGCTAAGATACTAAGAGCCATACCTATACCAGTGTGGCCAGTGTTTCCTGTGAGATGGCCAATCAGCCCCTGATCTCCCACCTTTTAATCCCTACCCCAAACCAGGGGAAGGGGGACGGTTCCATCTGAACGCTTGCCACCTGCCACCTCGGTACCCACTCGGGCATTTTAAGTGCACTTGTCTCTGCAGTTCTAGAAGTTTCCCCGTTACCTGACGCAATAGGACTTTGGCGCTTACTCTTTTTTTTTATTGTTTAAAGTATTACAAAGAGTATTACATATGTCTCCTTCCCCCCCCCCCCTTGGCATTCCCCCGGTCTCGTAGGCATGCATATAAGCATAACCAATGGACATAAGACACTGGCGGGTAGGGGAGGCGCTTACTCTTAATAAAGAACAAAGGAGCCTGCTAATCAGGAAGGTGGACACATAGAGCACTTTCTCCAGCCATTTCTGGGTTTTACTAGTGGGACCAACAAAAGAAAAAAGTAAAATCTTTGAAGCACCTGAGGCACTTTACAAACACTTCATGATGAAAATGGTCCCCGAGGAAGGTTTGAAATTTAGCAGCAGCCACCGCAGCAGCAGGAGAGAAGCGGCAACAAGAGCTGGGAGGCTCTTAAGTGCCCAAAGGCATCCTTAACAGTGTGGCCCGGCACTGCTGGTCCCAGCTGCCCCAGTAAGGAACGCAGGGTAATTGTAGTGGAAGATAAGCTTCTAGGTTTCTTTAATTTTAGAATGAGATCCCCTCAAAAATTACTGTAGAAAATAGAAACTACAGAGAGGTGACAATGAAAACAAAGGGAGGAGGAATATTATAAACAAGGCTCTGGGGAACAGTCTTCTCCAATTACTTCCTTGGAATAAGTTTCTGGAGGTAGGAGAGCTAGGTCAGAGGAGCTGCTGCCTTTTTAGGATATTTGATTGCCTTATTGTCCTGGAGGGACTTGTGCCAGCTGACCCTCCCCCAACAATTGACAGAGGATCTTTCCTATATCCTACACCCCTGTTACCCTCTATAGCAGCAGTTCTCAACCTGTGGGTCGTGACCCCTTTGGGGGTGGGACGACCCTTTCACAGGGGTCGCCTAAGACCATCGGAAAACACGTATATAATTACATATTGTTTTTGTGATTAATCATTATGCTTTAATTATGTTCAACAATGAAAATACATCCTGCATATCAGATATTTACATTATGATTCATAACAGTAGCAAAATTACAGTTATGAAGTAGCAACGAAAATAATTTTATGGTTGGGGGTCACCACAACATGAGGAACTGTATTAAAGGGTCTCGGCATTAGGAAGGTTGAGAACCACTGCTCTGTAGTATTCTTTTTCATCTCTGCCAGACAGATGGGAAGGGAGTATCTTACTGTCGTCTCCTTTTGCATTTTTTAAATCATTAAATTAGATGAAACACATTTTCTGTTAGTGTTTCTTCCTTAGGGAAGATACTAGTTTGTGTCCTTACCTGTTTTTCAGTGGCCTTGGTTTTTTTTTTTTTTCATCTAGAGGTGCTCTTAGCAAAAGCATTCTGTTCTGACTTCTTCCCCTGCCTGTATGATCTCTTCCCTCTTGTACAGCAAACATTTGGCAAGACTACAAACATAAATTACTAAAGTAACTGATATAATCCCAGAAGAGTTATTAGGGAGGCCATGCAAAGGCATTGTTAGAGCAATTCATGGACAATCCAAGTGCGTACTTTCTGCTCAAGTAGTTTGCACACCCCAACTCCTTTACAGCTTGTAGTACTATTGTTTTTGTGTTGTTTTTTTTTTTTTTTTTTTTTTTTTGTAGAACAATTCTGTTGATAAGATGTTTTATTGAGTGGATGATACTAACTCATTTTATGGTCTGCTCCTTCCACTGATAACCAGCATACCATGATGCACAACTTGTTCTTTTAATTATTCTAACTTTTTGACTGAAGTTTGCCTCAGTTTTATCATAAGACTTCCCGTGTGGCTGTACTGTTTGAGTCCTATACTTAGATGAATCTTAAATCTAAGCAATTTAGCAGCACACTGTTAACACAAATAGCAGGAGATTTCTCCCAGGGGATGAACCAGGTATATTTTACCCTCTTTTGTGAATTTGTGTAGCCGAAACCTCGATGCTAGAGTTCTTGCTTGAAGGTAGACAGGTGATTCTGAAATGGGTTGGAGGAGAAAGAGGAAGATAAAAGTTCATTTCAGCTAGACGGTGGATTAATACAGATGAGGGACCACATAAGAAAATTTAAGTAAATAATCTAGGTAATCTGGGTACAAAATAACTTCTAAAGAGATAAAATATATTAAAGTGTCGTGTATTATTAGAATAATTTACTTAACATGGAGAAAGTGATCTTCTAATTGGGAAAATACAATATGAAATTCTACCACAGTATGACCGTGGGCCTTTCATTTCAGACACACAAAACAATGAAGTCAGATACTACATTTTTCTGTATCATTTTCCACCCCTTTACATGTAGAAGTCAAATAATATGCATTAGGAATGAACAGTGCTGTCTGTCTGCATTCGAATCATGGGCTCTCAAAGGTTAAACAGGATCTTAATGGTTTCTAATTCAACCATCCAAAACGAGAGAGTGGATCTTCACTCTCCTACAAACTTTGCATCATTTCAAATAAACCAAGCTGAGAAACAAATGGGCCAGAAATTTCAAGTTTTGTGTGTGTGTTTTTTTCTTTTTGAGAGCAGGGAGAGAAAGGGAGGGTTTTAATTATGAAAGTTTGTATAAGCTCTTTAAACAAGTTGAACTTCAGACTAAACAACCTGGGCAGCAAGAGGGCTCAGTCATTGAGGTGTTCCATTTTCAAACATTCTCTGATCCATATTCTCTAGCCATTGGCTTGGTGAAGTTGAAAGGTGAAGTTCAAAGCACGTACAAAACAGAAAAAGGAAAGAGGAGCAGAGAGTAG